AAAAAAAAAAAAAAAAAAAAAAAAGTGCTTGATATCAGGGCTTGGCAAAGGATAAATGAATGAATGTCATGTTATGTTTTTAAACATAAAATATAAAAGGGACCAAAACAGTTAATAAAGATAAATATTATTTTACAAAGTATTTTCTAAAATAAAAATTAGGGCCAAAATATTCAGAATGAAAAAATATTAACATGCTAAGCAAAAATGAGTCCTGATATTTTGTTCGTCAAATGCTTCAAGCTAGTCCTGCCTGGTAGTTAGTAGATGCTCAATAAACCCTGCTGACTGTCCCTTCTCTCCCTGGTTATCTATCTCTCCCTCTTCCTGTACCATGGAGGTCTTCTCTGACATGGCGGCCCCTTGTCAAAGTGACTGTTGAGACCTAAATTGTGGCAAATTGGAATTGAGGTATATTTAAGAGTAAAATACAGATCAGATTTCAAAAACAGTGCCAAAAAAAGTCATTGCCTTACATTTTAATATTGATTACGTGCTTAAAATGATGTTATTTTAGGTGTAACTAGCAAAATACAATGTATTGTTAAAATAAATTTCAGTAATTCCCCTTTGTAAAATGCGGTACTAGGAAATCTTAAATCACATATATGGTTCACGTCTTGCTTTGTCTGGGCAGAGCTCATGTGAGAGTTTAAGAGTCAAGTACTCGCCAGGAAGGCACCAGACAGCGGCTGCCCGCCAGCCTGCCGCTCTCCAGGCTGCTTGGCGGCACCTGGGCCTTCCCTTCCAGGCCGTGCCCTTTGTCTGTCTTTCATGCTCAGTTATAAACTCCCAGGGGACATAATTCTGATTAGGAAGGGACTCTCATGTAGTTCCAGACAGACTGCAAGTAAACCACAGGCAGAAACTGTGTATTACACCTCTCAAGTTCTTTTTAGGTTTTACAGTAAGAACAGGAGAGCCGGGCGTGGTGGCGCACACCTGTAATCCCAGGACTCCGAAAGCTGAGGCAGGAGGAACGCTGTGAGTTCGAGACCAGCCTGGGCTACATGGTGAGTTCCAGGTCAGTCTCAACAAACCAAACCAAACCAAAAAAAAGAAAGATGAGGCGAGAAAATGACAAACGCATATACATATGGAGGAAGAGACGCTCAGGAACACATGAGTCTTTATGTCTCCTACGGCACAGAGCGCCAAGCTGTGCACAATAATCACATACACATGATGCTCGCTCCTATGGCGTTTTGTTTGTTTGTTTGTTTTTGGTACCAGGGATTGAACTCTGGTCGTTGTGCTTGCAAGGCAGGCCACTGAACCACTGAGCTGAATCCCTGGCCCTCCTGTGGCTCTTTAAAGAGTTTGACCCACATCATTTCACGTTATTTCTTTTAGTCCATACAGCAAGTTTGCACTACAGATAGAGCGAGCACCCATGCCCTGCCGTCACAGATGGGGACGCAACACACGGCCGAGCTGTGCGAAGGCCATCTCGGGGGTGCAGGGTTCTCTTCCCTTGCGATAAGCCTCTCCTGAAAGGTGTCCAACAAATGCCTCTAACAGAAGCCACACTAAGCCACTGTGCACAAGAAACCCGTCCTCTGTCCTTCCAGCTCAGGAGGAGCACTGACAGAGGACAGGTGTCCTAAGGTGGGCGGCATTTCCAGGGGACCTGGGCTGTGGACTTCCGCACCCTTTTCCTCTGGTGATGATGGTGCTGATCTCCTTTCCCTCAGGACATCCAACTCCTCAACCTCGGAGTCCTAACCACAAGGGTCTCGATGCAACCCAGTAAAGCTGGGTTCCCTGCGAGGCGCACTCCAGTGGGACTGATGCCAAAATCATGACGCCGGGCTGCTGGGCGCCCTGCCATCTCTTCCGGCAGCTTCCATTGATTCTGCTCATGTCCTTTAGCGCCTTCAGATTCCCTCTCACAAAAACCAGCCAGAAGTAGCTTCTCCTGCTTGTCGGCAAACACTCCTCATCTAGGAATTAGAACCCAGTCCTTCTAGAGATAAGAAAACAGGGACCGATGAGGAAGTGCCGGGACTACATGAGAATCATGGTTGCCTGGCTTTAGGTCTAGAACAGGCTCAGAAGTCCAGAGGTCAACTTTGTCAAGTTCGCTGACCAATGTGAAAAGTGAGTGACCTTGCCAGATGTAGCAGCGCCCACCTGTAACCCTAGTACGCAGGAGGCTGAGGCAGCAGGTGAGAGTTCAAGACCAGCCTAAGTCACATAGATCCTGTCTCAAAACAGACAAATATCAGTGACCTTGATAAGGCTTTTTTGTTTTCTTCACCCAAGCCCTATAAACCTAGAACCTAAATAATCCCAAACCCGAAGCCCGTTTCATTTATATTTATATTATATGTACTGAATCCAGAGGTGACTTTTAAATAAAATGTTTTCTTTATTGCTTACCCTATAAGAACCTGATGTTTAAGGGGAAAATGTGCCTGAAAGCACCAACCACTTTAAATCTTGTAACTTGACTGAGTCTCTCAATGAATTTCAAGAGGTCAAAGACAAAGTTTTCCAAACCACAAAAAATGTCATCCCCTTGGCAGGCCCGATAGCTAGCAAGGAATCTTCATCAAAATAGCATACGATTATCCAGGAAACCAAAGTATTTTCTTCCCAAACATTCCCATCACTCTGGCTGTGCTGGATAGAAAGCCCACGGATAAAGAATCAACAAACTTGGTGACCTAAATCTTCTCTCAGGTGATCAACAACACCCACGTAGAAGCAGCAAGCTCCTGGTAAACAGGAGACTGGGAACATGCAGTGAAGACAGAAGAAACTGTCCTAAACACACTGAAGAAACACCCAGAAATACAAACACGAGTTTTAAAGCAAAACAAATTGTTGGAGAGATGGAGGGCAGGGGAGGGAGAGGAGAGGAAGAAGGGGAAATAAAAAGGACTTAGATGCCATATGTACGTGTACTCACTCCCCAAGAAGAACGTGTTCATTAGTACTGCAGACAAGTACTAATAAGAAACAAATCGCAGGCCTATTCAACTAACCTAGGAACCGTACTTTAAACTGCCCACACATTCCTGGTTATTTATTTATTCATTTAGATACCAGAGATCGAACTCAGGGCCTTGCGCTTGCGAAGCCGGCGGCGGCACCCCTGAGCTAAATCCCCAGCTCCCTTGTTATCTGTTAAATGCTAGTAAATCTCAGATTACAGTTTAACACTTGCTAATCACAATGATGGTCCTAGTTATAAGAAATGATTGTGTGCCAAGAACTACCTAGACAGGCAGGAGAATATATGCTTGATTTTAGAAATAATTTTAGAAACAGCTTAAAAGATGGAAACCAAAGAGAATAAATTTAACTATCTGGAAAATTAGGGGCCGGGGATGTAGCTCAGAGGCACTGCACCTGCCTCGCAAGCAGAAGGTCCTGAGTTTGATCCCCAATACCAAAATTAAAAAAAGAAAGAAAAAGAAAATTAGTATCTGTGTATCTAATTTCTCCAAGATGCTGAATAAACTGATTGTATGTAATACCTCCACATAATCCTTACCTTTTAGTCCTTTGGGGTCCTCTGTTTATTTAATTCTCTGTTGAGAATTAGAATAAGAAGTAACTGAGTACACCAGATAGAAGCATAGATTGAGATCTGCTAGGTTTTATACACAATCCCTTCCACGATGTTTGCTCCGGAACAAGAAGGAGTTTCCTGATTGCTTCTGTCCCTCAGTTCCGTCATCTGTAAAATGGAGACACTAACCTGCCTCCTAGGGTTGTTACACAAATGAAAGCCACACACATTTATGATCTAGTTACAGCACCACTTGGCACACACGAAGTGCTTAGGAAGCATTAGCTATTAGTCCCATGAGCAAGGGCCGGGGGACACGCTCTTGAGATGGAGGACGTTAAGTCCTGGTTCTTGCCCTCCAAGAATCCCCAGGGGAATATGGGTGCCTGCCACTGATGGGGCCCTTCCTTGGACAATCGCTCTGTTGGGGGACCACAGGATGCTAGTAGGACACAGGAGGGAAGGGGGCGACTGGCACGTGAGTGCGAAGAAAGCATCATGGTGCGTGTTTGGCTTGGTTCTGGGAGGTTGGAGGCTGAGGGTGACTGCAGTGACTTCCTAACCCAGGCTGGGGGAAGCTGTGGTCGTGGCATGGATGACACCAGAAATGACTCCAAGGAGCAGAAGGAGAGGACAGGCTGGGCTGATAGACCTTCACACAGCAATGAGCACCAAATGGTGACGGGGGAGGCACCCAGAAGAAAGGGCAGAGCCAGGGATGCAGACACTGGAATGCCCCAGACCTAACTTCCTGTCACCCCTGCCTTGTCACCTACTGGAGGCCTAGTGCTCAAAGCCAGGGAGAAATAAAATGTTCTTCCTCAACTCAGAAGTTGGAGGTTGGGCCAGCTAACTGTACCAAAAGGCAGAGAGCAAGAAAAAACAAGCAGTCCTCCTGCTTCAGCCTCCCAAGCACTAGGATTATAGGCATGCACCACCACTGCCCAGCTATTTTAAGATATTTTTGAATATCAACCATATTCCGAAGAGCTAGAAGGACATACACACTGCCTGTGCCCCACTGCACAGGTATCACCAAGGCTTCTGCAGTGTGCTGTACCTGTTACACTGAAGGAAAGCTACACCTGAAAGTCTACTGAGGAGGAAGGGTAACACTTCCCCATACAAGTCACAGACCCCCTGGGATTTATCCAGCAAGCCCCAGGAATCCATGGATCCCAGGTTGAGAAGCTCTGGAAGATGCTGCTGAATTCTGCCGGAGAGGGACTAGCAGAGGTTCCCACACAATGGGGAAACACAGGGTTAGGGTGACAGGCTTAGACGTACTCCTAGGATTGAGTCCTACATAATGAGAGCTCACCCTTGCCAACAATACACAAAGACCAGGAGAAATTTCAGCAGCAGAATAATTAGTTTGCTCTGGATTATGTTCACAATTCGTGTCTTTTATTTTTTGGATATGGGGGGTGGTCTCACTATGTTACCCAGACTATGCCTCAATCTCCTGAACTCAAGGAGTCCTCCTGCCTCAGCCTCTGGAGTAGCTGGGACTACAGGATGGAACCCAGGGCCTCCTCACGTAGTTACATCCTCAGCCTTTCAAAAAAAATTATTGGTGTTTGTTTGTTTGCTTGCCAGGCAGGCAGTACGCTACTGAGCCATTATTTTTTAAATTATCAGATCATGTTACTGGAATGCTGGGGTTGTGTCTCAAGGTCACAAAAAATGAAACTATAGAGCGGGTAGTACAAGAAAATTTCTTTAAAAGATATAAAGATGAGGAAGTAAAAGGTATGCGTGAATCACTGTAACATGTCATTACTCTTTCAGAAGATTCTCCTAGAAGGAGAACAGCAGGCTCAAACAAGTTTGTTTTCTTTTGTTTGTTTGTTTGTTTTTAGTTTTTGACACGTCTCCATACTGATTTCTATAGTAGTTGTAACAGTTTACACTTCCACCAACAATGAAGGGTTCCTTTTCCCCTGCAGCCTTTCATTTTCTGAGGTCCTCTTCGATCTACTTTTTTCAGGGTACTGTAGTTTTCATTGTAGCCTTGGAGCATTTATTATTATGTGATATCTTGAAGACAGCCATTCTTCCTGGAGTAAGATGGAAGCTCAGTGTTGTTTTAATTTGCATTTCTTGAACAGCCATTGATGTTGAACATTTTCTCTTGTATTTCTTTATCTGAGAAGTATTCTACTCATTTCAGACACCCGTTTGTTGATTAGGTCTTTACATTTGTGGAGTGTAATTATTTTGAGTTCTTTACATAGTCTAGATCTGTGACGGTGAACCTATGGTATGCGTGCTATTTGTTTTTCCTGGAAGACAAAAGATGTTGGGGATGTAGCTCAGCAGCACAGCGTTTGGTTCCCAGTACAAAAAAAAAAAAAAAAAAAAAAGAG